ACCAGACAATACGGCTATAGCACGTTACTATGAATCCGATTTCTCAATGGATGGTTAGCTTGACGGAATATTATAGAAGAAAGTATTGTTTGCAATATCGGCGATTTTGTTGATAGATAATAAACTGTTTTACTTCATGATAATTATAGAACCGCTGCACAGACGTATTCCTCTTTCAGAAGAGTAATCAACACATTGACAGCTTTTGATACATGCTTAATTTACAAACTCTTGCGTTTTATTATGTCGCTTCAGCATCGTCTCTTTAAATTCGTAGTCCGCAGCATGCATGTTTCAGTCGGCAATCTACGTAAAATTTTCCTGATGATACACGAATCAAGGGAGGATTATGGATTTCCAAAAGGTGGATGGATTCCGTTCTTCTTGAAATCACTTTTGGAATCGAGGAAAAGGTAGGTAAATTTTCCCGGCTTACCATTATTTAGACAAACCCACTTATCCAATTCCGTGCTTTCTTTTTACTACTTTTTGTTAGTTTTCTTTCTTTTTTACGCTTCATATATCGAGATAAACTCGAATAAAATATTACAGAAACCCCAGGTTACAGTTTTTTATAGTGTAGTTTCAGCATTAGTTCTAACATAAAAGGAAACAAAGGAGGGGTGTCCACTTAAATGCCTCAGGGGAACAAACGTATGAGCTTGGTATTTTGCATAAAATTTTGGTTTGGTTTATATGTGTTCTACGCCCTATTAACAAAAATGTTCATTTAATTAAGGACGAGCCGGTTTTTGGTGGTGGAGGGAGGCCCTAGTTCCCGGAGAAAACAACTGACCTGCTGCCATCACCTAGCTGCCCCACGGCAAACTGGAAACCGCGATCCAGTGACGGAGTTTTCAGAAATAAAGTATAGGTTTTTCAGTCTCTGCAAAGAACGATGAGCGATGAAGGTGAAAAGGAACAAATATGGTATCTTTTCTACAGATAATTATAGAATAAATACCTGGTAGCTACAACTTTATGTAGTTTACCTGATTATACCATATTTCGTCGTTTTTTTTCAGCTAATAGACTCATTTGACAATACAGTGATTAGTTTGTCTAAATGAACCCTAGACTTTATTTCTACAAAGGAAATCAAGTTTTTATAATTGCCCATTGAATCGGTAAAGTGAGCAATCCCTTTTTTGTTATACAATGCAAATTAGCAATGTAAATGAGTTCTACTGTAATGGGAAACACACAGTTTTACATCTATAAGCTATAGTTAGTTTATATTCGGTTACTCCAGGTTTTTACTGGTTACTTACCTTCTCGCCTAGAAAATTCTGTCTAGCTTGCACGTGCATTCTTTTCCAACACATAGAAAATGATTGCATTACATCTATAAATAGAACAGTAGAATGTGCATGACGCTCACTCGTCAGCCGAGGCTAGTCGAATGACATGACGCCATGTAGCTCACGTGAGATTTCCGATCAAACAGAGAGCATTCCAGAAAGCACATGGCTTGTTGGTTATGTTCGATTGTTTCTGATTACAAAAAAAATGAGATTTATCGGGAATTTCCGGTACTCGTTCGTAGACATATATGGAGTTAAACTTATCGGAAAAATACTTGGTACATTCCGTCAAACCCAGTCCAATGTGTGACGGAATGATTAAGAATCAATGCACTGCGACCGGCTTGTGTGTTAAGTCAAGGAGTGTCGCGATTGCATCAGATCAAATGGAAGTTTTAAAACACATAATTGGTATTTTGTGCGAACTTTTAAAACTACATACAATACTCTTGTAGCAGGTTAAGTACTATTGATCCGGGATTCCGAAATGCTTGCTTTAGATATTTGCAAATTTCGTCCCGATAGTTCGTAGTCCACAGCTAAAATGCTCACTATATATGATATTTTATGTGTATAATAATAATAATGATAAAGACTTTATTTATTCTTGATAACATATTGAGCATGAAGTTCATCTTACATATGGTCAAGATAAAATGTAAAATATTTACAGCTACAGTGTACATAATAAAGGGCGGACCCTGGACTTTCGCAAAAAACACGGGAGGGTATCCAAGTACTAATGAATTCACTGAAATACCCTGGAAGCTACGAGGATTCCAGCTATCCTGGCTTTTACACTTTATATACAGGGATAACCCTGCTTATGTCCGAGAATTACGTACACAGTTATCTCTGTATCACACTAACTATTTATTTAAATTAGACTGTTTTCCTCTATTTTTTTAAAATTCATATACATGAACTTAAGGGTTTTGTGCGCCTTCCTTTCTGTGTCGACCACTTTGGTACCCAACTTTTGTAGCCACTGTCACCCAATGAGTCTTAGAAAGACGAAACATCTGTACATGTGGTGTTATTTTGTTTTGGCATGCTGTATGATCAATTTTCAGATATTATAGGTGCGAGCATATGTGTGTGTGTTATATTCGTCTTTTTAAATGTGGAGCAAACGGGGATAATCAATAGTTTGATGCTATTGATTTCATCATGTTTGACTCCAGGTAACACTTGTTAAACGTCATTATTTTAGCTGTGTACATTGAAGTTCCTAGTTAATTATTTATCGGATTTCAGCGTAAAAGTATTGAAAAAAACAACAAATGAAACGACACTGAGATCAAAACGGGAGCTAAAATTCGATATCCTAGTTACAGCACACGACCAACATCTAATACAAGTTTGTTAGAAATTTGCATTTAAAATAATTCTACCTGCAATTTCAAACGAAAATTCATGTAAAGTTAAATTAGATTAAATTCAAAGTTATGAAATTCAAAATAAAAACACGTACTGGTCACATATGTTTTTAACGCTTGCACAAGAGAAACGATTTCATTGCATCTAAAAATAGAACAATATAATGCATGACGCCATATAGCTCACCTCAGATTATGGTTCGATGTCTTTTCTTCGTCTGCTGGATAACCGAACTACTCGGTATTGAGCGGCTATCAATCAATCAATCAATCAATCAATGGTTCGATCAGAGCTTTGCTTGCCGGAAACATCCGATTGGATCTCTATTAAATCGGAAAGTACTCGGGACTTTCCGTCATACCCAGGCTCATGTGTGACGGAAACTTCTAGAAAAGGGATTGTCAGAGAATGTCGCGATTGCATCAGATCATACGCAAGAATTAAGAAATAATTCTTTTAGAATTGTTTTGTGTATACAAAACTGGTGGTGCGTGAACATTTCAAAAACCACAAACAGACAATAGTCCTGTAGTATGTTACTATGGATCTGAGTTTCAAGAGCATTGTCAGATTGACGAAACACAGTAGAAAAAACAAACATTGTCGGTCATTATAAAGTAAATATTTTACTATGTTTTAATATTTTGCTTTACCACACTTGGACAAACAACATAATATTCATTTGAAAGTAAATTCAAGACGGCGGTAGCTTTAGATATGTTCAAACTTTGTTCTGGAATTCAAGTTTAAGTTCTTTTTTACTTTGAGTCTTTCGTCTGTGCAATATCCATCCTCGATATCCAGTAGTTTCGCTCACTTTCGCTCTCTGCACGAGCGAAAGTGAGCGAATCCCCTTGATATCGAGGATAGGGGTATCGGAAGTTGATCTAAACCCCTAAAACTTGTAACATTGTTCTTAACACCTTAGTTTAGGTCTATTTATAGCTGTTAGATAATATCATGTCCCTGTGATAACAACATCTAAAACAGAATTGTAGAAATTGAAGGTATTGAAACTATTTTGCCTTTAATTTCAAACAATTCATGCATCTTTATAGTAAAATTAAATCAAATTCGTTTAAATGTCATTCAGTTCAGACAAAAAAATATATGGATGGTCACATACCTTCTAAACGAGAAGAAATCTCTCCTGCTTGCACGTGCATTTCTTGTCCAACAGAGAAAATTATTGCATCACGTCTAAAAATAGAACAATATAATACAATTATCTTCATCGGGAATTTCCGAACGCTTTCGAAGCAATCAATTAGTAAACCACCCGGGAATTTCCGTCATTCAAAACCTGATTTCCCGGTTTGGAATCGGTGAACCGCAGAAGGTAAGACGTCATTGAGTTTCGTGTGCGCACAGCTGATTTACGTAAGATTTATTTTTTGCCCATTGTGCACTGTCCACCGCTGGGATTTTTAAAACCGCAGACACATGCGAAACGTGCACCGACCACACATCCTTGTTTTTGAAAGTGTTTGTTTTGATTTTAGCCGGTCTGCACTTAAACATATAGCACAGAGGTGACCATTAATGATATGGTATGTGGAAGGGACATGCAAAAAAAAGGAAAAAAAAAAAATTGATCAGGTATCTCTATATCTCTCTGTCTGTGTCTCTCTGCCACTGTCCTCTATGTCTCTCTCTCTCTCTCTCGCTGTTTCTGTCTGTGGCTCTCTCTATCTGTGTCTTTGTCTCTCAGTGTGTATATGTCTCTATATGTTTGTGTTTCTGTCTCTCACTGTTTCTCTATCTGTGTATCTTTGTCTTTCTGTGTCTCCTGCTTTCTATGTGTCTCTATCTGCCTCTGTCTCTCTATGTGTCTGTGTCTCTCTGGGTGTATATGTGTCTGTGTGCGTCTCTCTCTCTGAGTATCTGTCTCTCTGTGTCTGTGTCTCCCTCTCTGTGTGTATCTGTCTCTGTGTGTCTGTGTCTCCCTCTCTGTGTATCTGTCTCTCTGTGTCTGTGACTCCCTCTCTGTGTGTATCTGTCTCTCTTTGTCTGTGTCTCCCTCTCTGTGTGTATTTGTCTCTCTGTGTCTGTGTCTCCTTCTCTGTGTGTATCTGTCTCTCTGTGTCTGTGTCTCTCTCTCTCTGTGTATCTGTCTCTATATGTCTGTGTTTCTGTCTCTCCCTGTTTCTCTATCTGTGTATCTTTATGTCTTTCTGTGTCTCCTGCTTTCTATTAGTCTCTATCTGCCTCTGTCTCTATATGTGCCTGTGTCTCCCTCTCTGTGTGTATCTGTCTCTCTGTGTCTGTGTCTCCCTCTCTATGTGTTTCTGTCTCTGTGTGTGTGTGTCTCCCTCTCTATGTGTCGCTGTCTCTCTGTGTCTGTGTCTCCTTCTCTGTGTGTATCTGTCTCTCTGTGTCTGTGTCTCCTTCTCTGTGAGTTTCTGTCTCTCTGTGACTGTGTCTTCCTCTCTGTGTGTTTCTGTCTCTCTGTGTCTGGGTCTCCTTCTCTGTGAGTTTCTGTCTCTCTGTGTCTGTGTCTTCCTCTCTGTCTGTTTCTGTCTCTCTGTGTCTGTGTATCCCTCTCTGTGTGTATCTCTCTCTCTGTGTCTGTGACTCCCTCTCTGTGTGTATCTGTCTCTTTGTGTCTGTGTCTCCCTCTCTGTGTATCTGTCTCTCTGTGTCTGTGTCTCCCTCTCTGTGTGTATCTGTCTCTTTGAGTCTGTCTCTCCCTCTCTGTGTGTATCTGTCTCTTTGTGTCTGTGTCTCCCTCTCTGGGTGTATCTGTCTCTTTGTGTCTGTGTCTCCCTCTCTGTGTATCTGTCTCTCTGTGTCTGTGTCTCCTCTCTCTGTGTGTTTCTGTCTCTTTGTCTCTGTGTCTCTCTGGGTGTATCTGTCTCTTTGTCTCTGTGTCTCTCTGGGTGTATCTGTCTCTTTGTGTCTGTGTCTCCCTCTCTGTGTGTTTCTGTCTCTCTGTGTCTGTGTCTCCTTCTCTGTGAGTTTCTGTCTCTCTGTGTCTGTGTCTTCCTCTCTGTGTGTTTCTGTCTCTCTGTGTCTGTGTCTCCCTCTCTGCGTGTATCTGTCTCTCTGCGTCTCCCACTATGTGTATTTCTGTCTCTCTGTGTCTGTGTCGCCCTCTCTGTGGGTTTCTGTCTCTCTGTGTCTGTGTCTCTCTGGGGGTATCTGTCTCTGTGTGTCTGTGTCTCCCTCTCTGTGTGTGTCTCTCTCTGTGTGTTTCTGTCTCTCTGTGTGTGTGTTTCTGTCTCTCTGTGTCTGTCTCTGTCTCTGTGTGTTTCTGTCTCTTTGTCTCTGTGTCTCTCTGGGTGTCTATGTATATGTGTCTGTGTGTGTCTCTATCTGTCTCTGTCTCTATATGTGTCTGTGTCTCCCTCTCTGTGTGTGTCTCTCTCTGTGTGTTTCTGTCTCTCTGTGTCTGTGTCTCTCTGGGTGTATCTGTCTCTGTGTGTCTGTGTCTCCCTCTCTGTGTGTTTCTGTCTCTCTGTGTCTGTGTCGCCCTCTCTGTGTGTTTCTGTCTCTCTGTGTCTGTCTCTGTCTCTGTGTGTTTCTGTCTCTTTGTCTCTGTGTCTCTCTGGGTGTCTATGTATATGTGTCTGTGTGTGTCTCTATCTGCCTCTGTCTCTATATGTGTCTGTGTCTCCCTCTATGTGTGTGTCTCTCTCTGTGTGTTTCTGTCTCTCTGTGTCTGTGTCTCCTTCTCTGTGTATTTCTGTCTCTCTGTGTCTGTGTCTTCCTCTCTGTGTGTTTCTGTCTCTCTGTGTCTGTGTATCCCTCTCTGTGTGTATCTCTCTCTCTGTGTCTGTGTCTCCCTCTCTTTGTGTATCTGTCTCTCTGTGTCGGTGTCTCTCTGGGTGTATCTGTCTCTTTGTCTCTGTGTCTCTCTGGGTGTCTATGTATATGTGTCTGTGTGTGTCTCTATCTGCCTCTGTCTCTATATGTGTCTGTGTCTCCCTCTATGTGTGTGTCTCTCTCTGTGTGTTTCTGTCTCTCTGTGTCGGTGTCTCTCTGGGTGTATCTGTCTCTTTGTCTCTGTGTCTCTCTGGGTGTCTATGTATATGTGTCTGTGTGTGTCTCTATCTGCCTCAGTCTCTATCTGCCTCTGTCTCTATATGTGTCTGTGTCTCCCTCTCTGTGTGTGTCTCTATCTGTGTGTTTCTGTCTCTTTGTCTCTGTGTCTCTCTGGGTGTATCTGTCTCTTTGTCTCTGTGTCTCTCTGGGTGTCTATGTATATGTGTCTGTGTGTGTCTCTATCTGCCTC